CAATTCCAAGCACTACTTTGAACCCAATAAGCTTTAATCATTCATTTCAAGTCTGGCCATTCAAATCGCATGGTAACCCTCCTTAGCACACATCAAAACCTTAAGCCTAAGTTCAAAATTCACCTATATATATTACACACCAATAATAATCCCACTCTCACTTTAACACCATGTTTTTCCCTTCAATTTCTAATTCTAATTAGTAGAATGAGGAAAATACCTAGAACATGGCAAATAACAATCATACAAGGGCCAATCCTCATAATTTATAGGCCGCGTGCAGGAAAAAATGAGGGTCCTTATTTATCACCAAAAAAAACTAGGTGACATTTGCACGTCAAAATTTATACAAAAATGAGAATTCAAAGCAAATTTTAAAGGCTAAATAAAAAGTGAGTACTATCATATAAAAAGTAAACAAAAGGGTCTCATAAAAAATCATGAGTACACGTGATACATTTTCCTTTCTTCCTAAGTTATTATTGTTACTTCACGAGGACTTAAATCTCAAATATATTTTATTTTTTGGATCACCTTAATGGATCTTGAATAGTCTCATACCTTGTCCACCTAGTGCAGGTCCCAAATTTTATGGAATATCAACTATAACAATATAATACAATATAAATGACTACAATCAACAAAATATTGAACAAATTCATATGTAAAATGTAACAATTAATAACACACAATAATTTCGAAATGGAATACAAGCATGAGTAAAAATGTTCCAAGAAAATGAGATTTTTTGCACAAGAATAAAAATAAAAGTAAAAATGTAAAAAAAAAAAAAAACATTGGCCCCATTAACTATGGAAGCGTGCAGCGCACGTGCTGGTTGCAACACTTGCTTAGGGCCACCGTGAAATCATAGCAAATACCTACTTTACAATTTTCTACGTAACGAGAACAATTTTAAAATTTTCTACGTAACTATGATTATGTTAACAACAACGAAAACATGTTATTTTTTCCATTTTCTACTTTTCAGAACCTAAATCAATAACAGAGGAACCACGAGAACAAAAAACGCATGGAAAATAAAAAGTGTGCAGAATTGAAAGACAAATTGGAGGAATCGATGTAATAAGAAGGAGATCGAACGAAGAAAGAATGATTTGTGGAATTTGAGTGAAGAAAGAAGAAAGAAGTGAAGGATTCAAAATTCACCTGTAGGACATAGCGATGGAGTGAAAAAAAGTGAGGTGCGAGAAAGAAGAGAAGGACAAAAGAGATAATTAAGAAAATGGTTGAATCCAACTGTACAACGTTAAATATTTGATTTTATTATTACACCCAACCTAAACCTATACGTTCTATTTAAACACAAACATAAGGAAATAAATACATGGGTCAGGAGGAAATTACTCAAAACAAAGAAAATAATAATGTGTTGTGAGAATCAGCCATTTAAATATAATTAGATGATATTTTTCTATTTGCTTCTCGAAAATAGGGATGATAATGTGTCTGGATAGGTTTGGGTAGTACCTTACCTTGACTCGTCTCGTTGCTTCATTTTTTGATCCAGACTTGTGCTAATACTTGTTCGGTATGCTACTCAAGAGTCTTTGGTACTTAGCAGATCCATGAGTACTCATAAATTTAAAAATAATTACAATTAATTTATGCACTTGTGTATGAAAAAAAAACATTAAAAACAACTTCAATATTAGTATGAAAAATTCATTGAGTAAGAACTCTTCGATTAACATAACATTACATTATAGATATGAATTAAAAACATAATATAATTGTTTAACAACATAATATCACAATTTAAGAACATAACAATCAAATTTATGATTAATATGATATTATAATTATGGATTAATATGATATTACAATTATGTTACTATATAAAAAATTTGCTAACGATCGTTCTAGAGAACAATTAAGATAAAATATATTTTTTGTAATGTATTATCTTTTCAATAAAATGATAATAAATAAATATAAGTAATTTTATCTTAAAGGGAGAGATTAGAGATATCACCCATTAGAATATATTATTAATTTAATATTTAAAATTAAAAAATATATATAAATGGTAAGATAAAACTAATTCTTAGAATTTCTAGGATTGTCTAGTATCTTGTTTGGATTAATCTTAAGTCAAAAAGTCCTTTGCCATAAACATTTCTCCTCCATTCAGTTAGATGAAAGTATGAACCTTAACTTATCTAAAAACTACACTACTTATTAGTGTATAATATAATTTCTTTTGGGTGTGTGATTTTCACTTTCAACAAATGTTGCTCTTAAGAATTGAACTCTTAACATTTTTATCATTATGTGGATCCAGCAGAGCCTTACATCACTATATCAATACATCGTTGATATTTTGGTATAGATTAGACAACTTTTTGGCTTAACTTAACTTTCATTCACTCATGTAAATGTATATAAAGAGGTAGACTTGCACAAATATGTGGTTAAGAGCAGAGGCACCCATACATATTTTTGTGTATGGTCCCTTTATTGGGATGGACACTCAAAATATGACACTAAAGATTATCAGTGTGAACATAGAGGTTTTACCTTAATTCACGGCTACGTATAGTCCTTGACAACATCAAGATTCCAATATAACTGATCATATTACATATTTTAAAAGTTAACAAAGCTTCTTCAACTATTTGAGTATTATGTTCAATCTACCTTTTTCAGTCTTTTCATCACATGTATTATTTCATCATAGCTTCTCTAGCCTATACAAATTCACCTTCCATGTATTCTTTACACCAACCTCTCCAAACTATCTCCGAACGATTTTATTGCATTTATTCTTTATTTTAGTTTCTAGTTGTTTAATTTCAAAATGGAAACATTTAGGAAAAACCTTTTATCTTAAGGCTATTATTATTGTCGAACAACCTAATATCGTTCAAGTTCCTATGAATATGATATCTCTTTATTTGCGACAATTTGATTCATTATTTGATTGACTTTTTTCTTGTTAGCAAAATGACACCATTGTGGGGGACTTGTTTTTTAAGCTTTTGCAAATAATTTTGCCTTTTACATAACTTTTGTATGTTTACTATTCTTTCTTTCGATTAACTAATTTATGTTGTTGGTATTTTTGACTCTTGAAGGAAAGTCTAAGTAGAACGAGGGCCGAGGCAAACTTCCATATTTGGAGTAAGGTAAATGATTTCCTTCTTTATGTGCCCGTGGAATTCAAATTCAAAAAACAAGAGATACTACTTTCTACACCTAGAGCTAAATTGTGGTAATGTAAATTATAGGAGTTATTTGTGTAGATTGTTTCCTTTTACAAGATTCAATGAACCTAGACAACTTTTTTAACTTATGCACATGAGAATTAGAGGAATTATATTTAATGTATGTTTTAATTCATGCAATTTTCTTGGAGCCATGTCGGCAAGCACAAAACTATATGTAATAAGTCATTTTCCATGAAATGATAAGTTGAAATTTATTTGGATTAACTCCTTGTTTAGTTGAGCATTGGCTCCTAAAACGTAGAACATATCCAACAACTTTGCTTCTGGCGTTCAAATGCTTATCACCATTGGTGTGGCGCCTTAACCTCATTCTTATGAAAGATTTTTCCTTGTGGCGAACCGTATTGGTTTATCTAGCACTTGTGTTTGTGGCACATCATCTTTCATTCATTATCCATTTCTTTTATCCAACATACACAAAATATACACACTTCAACCCATAACCATATACACGTTTTATTATATATACATACACTACAATCCTACACAAAAATATACAGAATAAACACCAAAAAACATAACAGCCAAATTAAAGTATCATTCCTCGAGAAAGTTAAGTTTCAGGCAAGAACAATCGACCAAAACACAAACCATCCCCAAGAGGTTACTATAAGGGCCAAGGAGGATACCTTTCAATTCGAAGGACAATCACTTGGAAACTAACAAAATTGCAATATTGACATACTTTTTAAGTTACATTTAATAAAGCGAGGGTCTTTTGTCCCACATTTAGTTTTAGGATTTTCCTTTTATGTTACCAATAAAGAATTGTGGAATTTCATTGTTTTCTAATATTAACGCCTTAATGGCCGAGATATGTTTCTTAATTTGTCGTGTGTCATGATGTAATATTGCCATATGAGGAAAGGTTCATTGGACTTGGACTTTGCCTTACTTGGCCGTGTGAATCACAACTAAAGAGGGTGACACAACTTGCCTTATTTGAACTCGTGAAAATGAATGTGGGAAATGTTTCAAATCAAGAATTTATGGTGAATAATTACCATATTTGGTGATAGACGCATCTCTTCAGAGTTGCATGGTTCTTTCAAAATTCAAGAAGGAGGAATGTTTTCTTACCAAATATGAATCCATGTGGTATTTTCATGGAGCTAGGCGAGTGTAAATTCATATACAAGGAGTTATGTACGTGGATTGTTTCCTTATTAAGGATTCAATGAACCGATACATACTTGGAGCTAGGCGTGTAGAATTCAAGCTAGGCGAGATACTACTTGTCATATATGGAGTATGAGGTGTTAATCGTTCCCTTTCTTTTAGAAGATGTTGAATTGCCATCTATTGGGTAAAACACGAAATAAAAAACACCTAGAGGGGGTGATAGGTGCAGCGGTCCTCAATTACCTATTTTTCGGTTAATAGGATATTCTGGAAATTTTAATGATTAATCGATTATCAAAACACTTAATCGATTAACTCATGTGTTTAGTCGATTAACTTCAGGCTTAATAGATTAACCTAAGTCTTTAAATTCTTGAAAACTGAAAACTTGTAAAACAAGAAACCACAAGATCAATTAATTTCAGAATCAATTCACCTAAAAATTTTATGCCTAAGTGTTTAACAGAAACAAAACCTGCAATAAACTCAATAAGCAAATCTATTAAACCTACACAAATCATAAATTGACTGAAAGTAAATAATAAGGGATAGATAAAATCAAAATGACGGTCGTTTATCCTGGTTCATTTGCGGGTCCACTTGCAAACTACATCAAGGTCTCTCATTCTGATTTTTGGAGATTTTTATTCACTATTTGAACAATGTTTTACAAACAATCTTTCAAATGAATACAATACTCTCTTATTGGATCTAGAGTCCTCAAGATGGTTTGACCTTCTATCCGCTTCTAATGGATATTTAAAACCACTTCTAATGGTCTGACCCTAGCCACTTATCACTCTAAACCGAGAATCTTGTATATGCGAAGACAACATCGATCACCTAACCGCGACTAGGATTTCTTTCTCTATCAAGGTGATACTTAACACACCTAGAGAAATCCAAGAAAATCGTTAGAAAATTCAAGTTACTTTGCACTTCAATGTGCGAATATACAACCAGTAACAACACTAAAACCCAACCTAGAAATACCACAAAGACTCAAAGGTGTTATATGTGATTAAGTTTGGTTTTCCAAACAAAAAAAACTATAACAATATAATACAATACAATATAAATAACTACAATCAACAAATTATCGAACAAAGTCATATGTAAAATGTAATAGTTAATAACACACAATAATTTCAAAATGGAATAAAAGCGTGAGTAAAAATGTCCATGAAAATGAGATTTTTTGCATACGAATAAAAATAAAAGTAAAAATGCATTGTTTATGTAAAAAAAACATTGGTACTATTAATTAGAGAGAGATCCACTTACTCCAAGAGTAAGTGAAAAAGATTTATTTCACATCTTAGCTATCCAATATTGGAAAATTCAATAGTTTAGAATTTAGATGTATTCAAAAATTCAAACCATTAGATTTCTCAAGAACGAATGACCATGATGTGCTGTAGGTTTTTTCCACTGTGAATCCCTCCCTAACTAGGGAACCGTGCAGCGCACGTGCTGGTTGCTGCACTTGCTTAGAGCCACCGTGAAATCGTAGCAAATGCCTACTTTACAATTTTCTAACTAACCAGAACAATTTAAAATTTTCTAAGTAACTATGATAATATTAACAACAACGAAAACATGTTCTTTTTTTTCATTTTCTACTTTTCAGAACCTAAATAAATAACAGAGGAACCACGAAAATCAAAACGACAACAAAAAACGCATGGAGATTAAAAAGTGAAAGACAAATTAGAGGAATCGATGTAATATGAAGGAGATCGAACGAAGAAAGGATGATTTGTGGAATTTGAGTGAGGAAAGAAGAAAGAAGTGAAGGATTCAAAATTTACCTGTAGGACATAGCGATGGAGTGAAAAAAAGTGAGGTGCGAGAGAAAAGAGAAGGACAAAAGAGATAATTAAGAAAATGGTTGAATCCAACTGTACAACGTTAAAATATAGGCACTAAAGATTAAGAGTATGAATGTAGAGGTTTTACCCTAATTCATGGCTACCTATATTATTGACAACATTTAGATTCCACTATAACCGGTCAAATTACAGATTTTAAAAGTTAACAACTTCTCCAACCATTTGAGTATTATGTTCAATCTACCCATTTCGATCTCTTTGATCACATATATTATTTCATCATAGTTTCTCCAGCCTCTAGAAACTCAAACAAGTATTCAATACTTCTCCAATCACAAACAAGTATTCTTTTTTTAATCAAGTCTCTACAAACCTACCTTCCATGTATTCTTTACACCAACCTCTCCGAACTATATCCCAATTATTTGTATTGCATTTATTCTTTATTTTAGTTTTTAGTTGTTTAATTTCAAAATAAAAACATTTTTGAAAAACATTTTATCTTAAGACTATTATTATTGTCGAACAACCTATTATCATTCAAGTTCCTATGAATATGATATCTCTTTATACTTCTTTGCGACAATCTGATTCATTATTTCATTGATATTTTTCTTGTTAGCAAAATGACACAATTGTGGGGGACTTGTGTCTAGATATAAGCATTGTGACAATTTGTGTCTTTAAGCTTTTGCAAATAATTTTGACATTTACATAAATTTTGTATGTTTACTATTCTTTCTTTCGACTAACTGTGCAGTTATTATTTTTGCCTATTGCTCTAGCAATAAGAATGAAAAACTAAGTAGAATGAGGGTCGAGGCAAACTTCCATATTTGGAGTAAGGCACGTGATTTCCTCCTTATGTGGTCGTGAAATTCAAATTCAAAAAGCAAGAGATACTACTTTCCACACCTAGAGCTAAACATGTGGTAATGTAAATGATAGGAGTTATATGTGTAGATTGTTTCCTTGTACATGATTCAATGAGCCTATCAAACTTTTTTAGCTTATGCACATGAGAATTAGGGGAATATACTTAATTTATGTTTTAATTCATGCAATTTTGGTGGAGTCATGTTGGCAGCTATAGAACTATATGTAATAAGTCATTTTCAATGAAATGATAAGTTGAAATTTATTTGGATTAACTCCTTGTTTAGTTGAGCATTGGCTCATAAAACATAGAACTTATCAAGCAACTTTGCTTATGGCGTTCAAAGGCTTATCACCATTAGTGTGACGCTTTAACCTTGTTCTTATCAAGGAACATTCCTTATTGCGAACCGCATTGGCTTATCAAGCACTAGTATTTGTGGCACTATTATCTTTCGTTCCTTATCCATTTATTTTATCCAACATACACAAAACATACACACTTCACCCCATAACCATATACACATTTTATTCTACATCAATACACTACAATTCTGCACAAAAATAAACAAAATAACCACCAAAAAAACGTAACAACCAAATGAAAGTATCATCCCGCAAGAAAATTAAGTTTCAAGCAAGAACAATAGGCCAAAATGCAAACCATCCCCAGAAGGTTACTATGAGGGCCAAGGGGTACCTTTCTATTTGAAGGAAGATCACTTGGCAACTAATAAAATTGCAATATTGACACACTTTTTAAGTTACACTTAATAAAGTGGAGGTCTTTTGTCCCACATTTAGTTTTAGGATTTTCCTTTTATGTTATCAATAAACAATTATGAGATTTCTTTGTTTTCTTCTAATAAGGGCTTAATGGGTAAGAGATTTTTCTTAGTTGGCCGTGTGCCATGATGTAATATTGCCATATGAGCAAGGGTTCATTGGACTTGGATTTTGTCTTACTTAGGGATGACAATGAAAACCGAACCTGCGGGTACCCACCCGAACCCAACCCGAATATAATGGGAAAAACCCGATGTGAATGGGTTCGGGTTTTACCCGAGCTCAAATTTCGGGTTCGGGTTTGGTTTTAACAATATCAAACCCGAACCCGATTAATATATATAAAACTATAAAATTGCATATAAATACATACATAAAAACTATATATATATATATATGTTATATATGTATAAATTTCACACACATATATATATAAGCTATACATATGTAAATTTCATACACATATATATATAAACTATATATATTAAAATATATGATTTTCGAGTCTTTTTCGGGTCTTTTTTCGGGTTCGGGTTACCCGAAACCCGACGGGTTCGGGGATGGTATCATTGTTTCCAACCCCGCTTAATTTGGGTTCGGGTTCGGGCTTGGGTAAGCACAAACCTGACCCCGACCCGCCCCTTTGCCATTTCTAGCCTTACTTGGCCGTGTGAATCACAACTAGAGAGGGTGTCACAACTTGCCTTATTTGGAATCATGAAAATGAGTATGGGAAATGTTTCAAATCAAGAAGTTATGGTGAATAATTATCATAATTGGTTTTAGGCGTATCTCTTCATTAAGGAGTTTCATGGTTCTTTCCAAATTCAAGAAGGATGAATCTTTTCTTACCATATATGAATTCGGTGATATTTCCATATTTTGTGGAGGACATTGAACTGCCATCAAGAGTATTTCAATTGTTTTCTTTTGTGCAGGATTTCGTGGTATATTGTCATCAAGGGGTATTTTTATTATTTCTTTTTGTAGGTAGTCATTTGAATTTAAATAATAACGCTTTAATGTCGTGTGTTAGGTGTTTAAGCAAGGAAAAACGTGAAGCCAATGTGTTTATTAAGTGTTTTAGTGTTTCAAATGTATTCATCTAGAAGCTAGCCTTATAGTGTTTTAATTAGGTCATTAAGTGTGTTGATTTTGTGCAATTTTCATTGAGCCAATGTGGGCAGCGACAAAAATATATGTAATAAGTTCATTTTCAGGAAATGACAAGTTGAAATTTATTATGATAAACTCCTTATTTAGTTGGGCATTGGCTACTAAACCTTAGAACTTATCAAGCAACTTTGCTTGTCGCGTTCAAAGGCTTATATCCATTGGTGTGGTTCCTTAACCTTATTCTTATCAAGGATCCTTCCTTGTGGTGAACCGCATTGGCTTATTAAGCACGTTTGTTTATGGCACCATCATATTTCATTCCTTATCAATTTATTTTATCCAACATACAAATTTTATCCCATAACCATATACACGTTTTATTATGTATCCATACACTATAATCCTATACAAAAATAAACAATAAAACGACGTAACAACCAAATTAAAGAATCATTTTGCGAGAATGTTAAGTTTCAGGTAAAAACGATAAGCCAGAACGCATACCATCCCCTCGAGGTTGCTATCAGGTGGTATTAGAGTCACTTGATTGAGGTTATTAAAAAAAATTATAGTCCAAAAAGAAGTCCAATTGTATATCCAAGGACATCATCCTTGGAAATGACATTGCAAGCAATGAGCGCTCAACTCCAAGCCATGCAATGGCAAATGAAAGAAATGATGATTCGAGATGACATGAGGCTTAGAGAAAGGCGTGGAGAATGAGGGAGGAGGCATAGAGACAAATTGGATAGAATTAAGATAAAGGTTCCTCCCTTTATGGGGGTGAAAAATCTGGAAGCCTACCTCAAATAGGAGTTCGAGATGCAGCATGTATTTGACTGCCACAACTATACAAAAGAAAACAAGGTGAAAGTGACATCCTCGAAATTCATGGAATATGTCATGGTGTGATGGGACCAATACTAGAAAGGTAGAAGGAGGTGTGATGCCAAACTAATTGATACTGTGGAGGGCATGAAGGTTGTGATGATGAGGTAATATTCCCCAAAGTCCTATCAAAAGGGCAGGCAGTCACAAAAAATTGCAAACCATACCCAAGTTCATCCAAAAGACGTTTGAACCAACAAATTTCTCTAAGAAGCTTAATAGGGCGTTACAAAAATATAAGACCACAAAGAGAGAAAGAAAGAATGAAAAGAGTGAAACAAAAAAACATGAGTGAAACATTTGTGAGAAAGAAAGAGTTGAGTGAAGAGCAAATAGAGAGTAATGAAAGCATTTTGAATGTAAACACATTGAGTGCAAACACTTTGAATTGAAAAAAACATAAGGGGCTTTGCATGGAATTTAACTTTCCTAATGAAACTCTTATGCAAAGTGGTGTTTAGGAAATTTCAAAGGATGCCCCTTGAATTGTACAACCAATGGAAGAGTATGAAACCATTGAACTCATTCATGACCTACCCAAGCTTTTCCGACCATGTCTTGAAAGCACAATAATTTCTGAATATGTGTGCTCAAAGAATATATTAGCAATTGGTTGGCCTTTGCGTAATAGTGATAAAAAACTTAGTCAATGGAATTATACTAAGTCTAGGGAAAATGAGTGGAATGAACCCTTTGAAAACAAGAATCCTACCTCAACCTTGTTAGTACAACTAAGTGTTAATAGTTTCGATAGGAATTTTAATTATTTTATAGTTAGTGTGACCCCGTTTAGGATTTCTAGCATGGAGCTACATGAGAATATGGTCTTGAGTCAAGCATTGCATCCTTTTAGGATAAATTTTTTGCATACCATAGCGAGTCACCATATTATTTTGTGCATTCTGATTGTAACTTTTTAAAGTTGCATGATGGGCCAAGAAATGACTTGATAAAGATGGATGAATATCAACGTCAAAGAAGAGACACCAAAGATGGGTTTAGGAGGAGTGTGTTTGATCTAGGACGTTTGGATTGAACATATCAGTAGAAGAAATAGTCATTCCAAAGGACTAACAAGTTGAGTCAATGGTGCTTGTCAATTTTGCTTTGGAGGAAAATACATGAAGCCTTCATAGTTGAGGACAAATCCTTTTCAAGAACGGGGGTAAGATAATTGCCAAGGGGGGTACCCTTCATTTTGAAGGACACTTAGAAACTAACAAAATTACAATATTGACCCACTTTTTAAGTTACATTTAATAAAGTGGAGGTCTTTTGTCCCACATTTAGTTTTAGGATTTTCCTTTTACCTTACCAATAAACAATTATGGAATTTCTTTTT